TCTTATCTTGTCTGATGGCAGGATCTGTTCTACTAGAAACTTGACGCTTACTTAGATGGCACATTTGGAAAGACTGATGGAACAGCACCTTCTGAAAGTTTTGGACGACTCAGTGTGACTGTGTTAGCTGATCCATCCTGCAGAACATAAGTTTCCGTACGGACAATTTCTGCTTGTTGAAAATGTGCATCACAAACAACAGAATCTTTAGAAGGCGACCAGTCCTTTCTTGGTATTGAAGCTAGCCACTTACTTTTCAACTCCTCATTTTTTGGAAATCGAAACACTGACCTGTAGGGTGTCGATCTCAATTCTGCCTCGTAGTTTCCCTTGCAGCCTGGTACACAGCAACGCTTAGGCATATTAATTAAAAGAAAAGATGTACCCACTCGAATCTACACACTATACAGACGTTTCTAACAAGCACCGATTCACACACATTTTAAACACATCAAAGCACGATTTTATACTACCTAAAATAAATACTTTCTGCACGGTTTGAAGAGCAAAACTAAGTAGATTACTCTGGTTTGTATGAATTGCACTGTTCCCATAGATTTACAACAAAATTGCACCAAAAAGTCGGAGGTTAGGAATATAAACAAACGAAAAGCCCGGCAAACACCTGTCTGTGGAAGACCCCAAAGCTGCGTTGCCATATCTACTGTTCATGGCTCGTTAGTTGAAGGTGGCGCTGCCTGAGCGTATCTTTTTTTATTGCACCTCTAACAGACGTAAAAACCCATCTAATCCATAAGCTATTAGTGACCATCGCCCACCCCCATTCACACGAGTCTAGCCAAAACGTGCCTTAAAATATGGACCAATTTTAGTTTGTTGCAGTCTGTCAGACGGCACGTTTCCGTTCCCGTTTGCTATTTGTGTTGCATAGGTGCGTTTGCGAGTATGGCGGGACCTTCTAAACGTGTACGATACGATGATCCGGAGTTCGAAGAAACCGTTCTAAAATGGTTTGAGGATGAAGGAAGTGACTTTAGTGATATAGACAGTGCCTCAGAAGACGAATACATGGAATCAGATCATACAAGTGATAGTGAGTTATCAGAAGACGGAGCCGAAGGAAATGAAGAGGATTTACCAGCTCAGAATTATTTCTATGGAAAAAATCGTCATAGGTGGAATATTTCGGAAGTTGTACCATCATCACGTACAAGGAAGCACAATATAGTCATTAAAGTACCAACTCTAAGAGGAAAAGCTCATGAATATGGAGAAGAAGCAGCTCCGTTGACGGTTTGGCAGCTTTTGTTCACTGACGACATGTTGGTACATATCGTTAAGTGGACCAATCACAAGCTCAAAGAAATGCGAAAGAGATACAAAAATCAAACCAGCAACCTAAACGACACTGATTTAGTCGAAATAAAGACACTATTGGGTCTCTTAGTATATACATCGGTGTTCAACAGCAACCACGAGAACATTGAAACACTTTTTGCCACCGATGGCTCTGGAAGAGATATATTCAGAGCTGTCATGAACATAAAACGATTTGGTATTCTCCTGTCAGCCTTAAGGTTTGATAACCCAGATGACAGGAATGAAAGAAAGAAGCTAGATCCAGTAGCACCAATATCTTTCATTTTTAATAGTTTTATAAAGAACTGTCAAGATGTGTACGGAGTTGGCCAGTCTGTCACTGTCGATGAAATGCTCGTGAGTTTCAGAGGAAGATGTCGATTTAAAATGTATATGCCTGCGAAACCTTGCAAATATGGCATAAAAATTATGGCATTGACGGATGCAAGGAATAGCTACCTCTATAACGCATATATATACTGCGGTAAAGATTCCCATAGTTTCGAACTTCCCGAGGAACACAAGCGGTATTCCAAACCCACACAATCAGTTCTACGTCTCGCGAAGCCTCTGTTTGGAACTAATCGCAACATTACAGCGGACAACTGGTTTACGTCAATAGAATTAATGGATGTCCTATTGAAGAACAAACTGACCTATGTGGGTACAATGAAGAAAAATAAAAGAGAAATTCCTCCGGCATTTTTACCCAACAAATCAAGAGAAGTCGGATCAACAATGTACGGATTTCGAGAAGATTCCACTATTGTGTCTCATGTAAGCAAAAAAAATAAAGCCACAATACTCATATCTTCTATGCACCACAGAAAATATTGTGATCCGGAAACACAGAAACCGGAAATAATAGCCTATTACAATGCTAATAAAGGTGGAGTTGATTCTCTTGATGAAAAATGTTCGAAGAGTACCTCAAGTCGCCGTTCGCGTAGGTGGCCACTGGTTATTTTCTACCGACTATTGGATATATCGGTAGTGAACTCGTATATTTTACACCAGTGCTATAAGAAAAATGAATTGCAGAAGGAAAAATCGGTATTTGCTAAGATGTTGGCCGCTAACCTGGTCCGTGAGCATATGGAAAAGCGACTAGAGAGTCCCCGTTTACCTCGGGATTTGCGACTTACGATAAATCGCATCCTTGGCAAATGTGAACATCCAGCAACAGAAGCTGAAAATTTGGTTTTGGAAAAAAGGAAAGCCTGCTTTTTATGTCACCGAACGACCCATCGGATGACCAAATTTTTGTGTGTACAATGTAGGAAGCCTGTATGTCTTCAATGCTCCAAACCCAAATGTATTAGCTGCATAAATATAGGCAATGTTTGAGACTTGCAGTGAATTTTGATTGTGTTCTTTTTGTATTTATTGACTATAATATACTTTCCTTGTTCATTACTTAACTAGAAAATAGAAAAATATTGAGACCTTTCCATAGTTTTAATTTAGTTTCTGAATGTTGCAACAACAGCGTTATTTTTGTATGGTTTTAGCATAGTTAATAAAAATGTTTCTTTTATGTTCTTGTATCATTTTGAAATGAGCATTTTACGTATTAAACACATAAAATAAACATCCAGTATCAGTTTCAGCGAAGTTATTGCTTGCTTTTCGCCTTACTCTAATTTTTTGAACATCTTGAAGTTCGCAGTCTGAGAGGCGGCATGTTTCCTTTTGTGTTCCAAAAATTCACGTTTCCTGTTAAGGGTTAAGATAAATATAAGATAAATAAATATAAATATAATTTAATCGTTCTGAAAACAGCTTATTATTAAATACTGTTCCAAATGCTCCACTGTCAAATTATGCCTTTTATCGTCTAAGATATATTTATACTTTGAAAAGCTCCTTTCCACGTCTACACTTGTAATAGGAGCGTATTTAAACTTTGAAATAATATCTGGATACATATTTAATTCTGGAACATTTTCGCCACCTAAAACTGACGATATTTGAACCAGTTTCTGAAATCCAATATTTTTTTCAAAAATCTCTCTCATTCTATTTTTAATTAAGCCGCCAATTTTTCCTGGAACAGTATTAATAGTGTTTTTGAAATCCTCTATTAAAGCAACTGAATCAACCAAAGGAACTTGTTGCTTTTCCAATGATTTAATAGTTTTGCTAATGCAACTGAAGTTGGTTTTGATAAAAGCCAAATTGTTTTGGAGCTCTCTATTGTTAAGAACGATCTGACACTCTTGTACTGATTTACTTGTGCTTTCGGAAAATTCAAAAATCAAATTTTTAAAATTTTGGAAATGGTCTGCATAATATATAGCGGCGTCAAGCCATGTTCCCCATCTGGTTAACACTGGTTCTGGAGGCAGTGGAATATTTGGACAATGTTCTCTAAACATTTGTACTCTCAAAGGCGCTTTAACAAATATTTTTTTGCCATTGCTGATCAACTTATTTACTAACGGAAATTGTAAGCGTATGGTTTCGGCAATACGATTGATCCCATGAGCTAAACAGGTGCAGTGAATTAAGTTGCCGTAAAAAACTTTCAAGTTTGTGGACGCCTTAACCATGTAAGAAGCTGCATCTGAGAGCATAAGTAGTACTTTTTCACTTGGTACAGCTTCTGGCAAAAAGAAGTTTGCTAACCCTTCATGTACAAATTTTGATACAGTGTTACTGTTTGTTGTGCTCAATTCTTTTGAACTAATTAAATATCCCTTTGTAGGAACCTCGTGGCACAAAACGCCTATCATTAAGTTTGCAATATACCGCCCACAACTGTCTGTAGTTTCATCAACAGTAAACCATATATAATTGCTTCCAATTATTGTTCTAATTTGTTGAATTGTATCGCGATATACAGGATAAATATAGTTTTTGCGTAAAGTACTTTCATCTGGTATATTTCGTTTGCAGTGTTTTTCCAAAAATTCTTTAAAGTGAGTGTTTTTCAACTTGTTTAAAGGAATATTTGATTTTAACATGGCATTGCAGAGATCCTGATTAAATTCTTGTTGTTCACTACGGCCCGAAGCAGATGCCATGGAAGAACCAATTGTTAGTTGTTTAAGCTTATCAACTTTATACTTCTTCATTTGTTCCGAGTGTACTTTCGTTTTCAGGTGTTGAACTACGTCGTACTTTTTAACACACACAATCTACAATAAATGAAGTAGTTTTTACTTGATGCCTGTATAAAAATTAATGGCTGATGCATCGTCCTAGGACATACAGGAAATCTCATCTCATGAAATTTTTTAAAGTATTGGATTATTTATTTTGTTAGATTAGAATACCTGCCAAACTGATTAGTGATTAGGATTACATGGGCTCATTCATATTTTTTTTTTAAAATCAATTTTGACCTACCTAAAATAAAGTCTAAATAGAAAAAACATGATTGTACAAATGCACAAATATGCACAAATAAATAAAAAGTGTGCATGAGTTCAGCTATTTTTGTACTATTCGCAAAATGTGGCTGAACTGCAATTATTTTTTTAATTGAGTATCATTAATTTATGAATGCAGCTACTAGTAACTATCGAAATCAATGACAGCTTACCTTTGACATTGGTTAGATTAACAATATATTTTTTACAAAAACAGCTTAGCAGAATTAGTGTTGCGAGCAATGGAACATTCCCATTTATTCTCAGAGATCGTTCGCGACTTTATTTGTGACATTTATTTTCAAGAGCATAAATCCGAACCCCAAGAATTTTAACGTTCCCATAGCATTAGCGTTAACATTAGGTATGAACGGTCCTTTAGCAACGAGACGTTGCAACACCGGATCGCCTCGCATTAGGTTGGCTGTCGTCGATCGTTGACACCAATGACATCTGACAGTGTTGGTTTTCGGGGATTTACAGATCGGTTTATTTTATGCTTTGAATTTTAAGAGATTGCATAAGTGTTTTAAGAGATAAGTGGATTGATATTATTTTTAACTTAATAAATAGAGCACAATTAGAGCGCAGACTTTTTTAATTTCAGATATTTTCCTAATATGTTTCCTTTGTTTTATTTTTCTTCATTTATACTCGTATGTACTGAAAATTTTCGTTCGTGCTCGAGGAACGTTCTCGAAAAAAATTCTCGAACATTTTACAACACTAAGCAGAATGCATTCAAGTTTGGTAGGTAGGATTAATATGGGATTTTCTATGTGCTCTAGGACTAATCATAATCAGTAATCATCCGGTATACCTAATGTTATGAAAAACTTACCGTTTTTATGCAAGCTTGACAAAATACTTTTCCATTTTCAATTTTTAATTCCGGGTTATCCTTGATCCAGACCTTGAGGTTAGTATAATTTACTTTTGACATCTTTGATTATTTACGCACAGTATTAGGTCACCACAAAAAATTATTTAATTATTCACTTGTACTTGGAGGATCGGTGACACGGTATACGATCTGTTATTTATTTAAAATATCTTAACCATGAGCACCCTACTAGCAGCCTAGAATTGCGTATCGCACATCTATTTTTAGAATTGCACGAACACACAAACACTGATCGGGGTTTCACCAGGGAAATGGAGAAGGGAGAATGAGTTTCGAAGAGTGTGCATCATTTCAAGGGACCGCCATTTTCTAGGCAACTCTGTTCTTAATGAAATTTTTAACAATGTGAAGTGATAAAACTTTGTGTACTTTAGTGACTTCGCTTCGAATCAACGAGACATTCTGTAAATTCCTACATGTATTTCTACTAAAACCAGCATTAAAGAACTAAAAAGATACTTTTTGACGCTCTTCCGTAAGCTCACAGTAAACAAATTTTCTATACAAAACGACTACTTTTTAACACTCCCAGACAAGTTTTTACTAGAAAATGGCGAAATTTATGATTAGTTCGTTCGCGCATCGAAATAGTTATTCTCCCCCACTCCATATCTCTGACGTGTCGCGTCGCGTCCGTCCCAGTTTGAGGAGCACTTTTGGTTAAGCCTTTGAATAGGTAGAAAAAAATAAGATATTTAAAGAAAAAAGTTCAAAATAAGCGCAAATATAGAAAATAAGCTTGAAATTAAGAAAAAAAGCAAAAAAAGCACTTTTTTTTGAAAAACTAATAGTTTTTTTTATTTACTTTGTACTTAAAACGGCATTACTTATATACTGCTTACAAATTGGCGTATAAGCAAAATTGCTTAAAATCCGGTCTTTAGTCATGAGCCATTTACCTTTTTTGTGCTCACTAATCGAAATGACAAACTGAGAAGACTTGTGAAAGTCAACAAATTGGAAATATTTCCATAACAAAAGATTAAATCTTGCAGGGAGCAAATCAAAGCAAATTCTTTGAACTGTTTTTTAGATTTCAAAACTGCTCCTAAATGGAAACTTCGGAAATGAGACCATTTATGGGTTATTATACATGGCATCCGAAGGCACATTTCTGAAATTCACAAATATACAGGGTGCCCCAATTTTGCACCACATCAAAAATATTGTTAGTCATTACACATCCGGATTAGCCCTTTCAAAAGAAGAAGATTAATATGACCTACTTAGGGGTTTTAATTATTATTAGTTATTGGGCTACTGGGTATTTTATCTAGAGAAACTTCAAAGTTTGACAACCTACATATCTGCTGACAGTTTGCATTAGTTAAGGCATATATGTTAATATACTGATGTAAATAAAACATAGGTTTTCGCAGATTTGACCATGACCATGACTGAAGGCCATCTAAAGGTCGCTTCTCTTCGTGAGACACTCCTTTACTGATTACAGAAATAAAAAGAGTAGAATATAACACAATGATCTACAATAGTCGTATGGTCCAAGGTCATTTTTGGCTTAGGATATGCCTCGGCTTCTATTTCGATTTTGTGTGCCGATAGAGAAAGTTTATTAATATCTAAAATAAAAATGAGACAAGATGCTCTCAATTCCACTGCGACTATTAAGTCATCAAGTCCAATATATTGGAATTTAATATCAGAAATAACTGTATTCAGATCAGAAGCCAGCTTTAGTAGCAGTGATCTTTTATCATTCTTGGAAAGTACTGAAATCAACTTGATTAAGTTTTTTTTGATAAATAATGAATTTAAATATCTTTGGTGTTAAGCTGTACACGACGCCATTCAGTACCCTATAGTTCTTCAGTAATTTAGACATTATTCGGTTTTTAGATGCAACTATATTATTCCATCAAAAAGAATTACATGGCATCAAATTTTACGAAAGATTCACAATAATTACTTCATTTATCAATAGCAGAGAAAGTTGAAAATTACGTCGTTAAATTGTTTAATAAGTTATTTGACACAACAATGTACAATTACCTACCAAGCTTAATGGCTACGATAAAGTTTAATGGATTTGACAAATTGTATTTTTGTGTAAATTGCTGGTGACTTCATATAAATCATCGCAATCAATACCATATTAAGCAATTTGGATGAAATTAATGTAAGTGCACAAAGAAAAAAAACGACATGTGTAAGTTGCTAAAAAAAGAGCTTATTAACTTTGTATTCAAAACAAAATACATGTGCTGAGGCATGTGCCGCAGCCTTGCCCTTCGGACATTCCAGTTTTCAAAATGCGCTTGGCACTTTTGTACGGACAAAATGTTGGAGATATCGAAGGAGATATACTGCGCAATATGTGTCAGACGTTCCCCAACAAACATTTTATGTTATAATTACGTTAATTCGACCACAAAATAGGTTAAACAAATTGCAATTTAAAAAAGGTTATATTTACTTGCAAGCATGATCATTTCCCCAAAGTGGGGAATAAAACCAAAGTAACTTAGAAGTCAATATTAGGTCGATGAAACATTTATTACTTGTGGTAAGACCATAATAATTTTGCTCTATAAAATATAAGATTAGCTGCACTTGTCTTTAGCCAAGAATCTCAAAAAAATGGCTTGCATTTGTGACTACAACGGGCCTTAGAAGTAAGCTCAATTAACGAATTTTGTTAACGATTTCAACGAGACATTCTGATAACAACCTAACATCGTATTGAGGACGCTTTGTTTTACGGCGCGAAGTTCTTGATTATATGCAAAATAATGTGTTTTGGGTGACATTTTTGGAAGAACTAACATAATATGTAAACAATTACTTTATGTTCATGTTTTAATATTAAAAAGAGAATATATCAAGTATGGCAGCTGGTTCGAAATAGCAGTTATAACTTTATGATTGAGCTCAGCCAATTCAGACCTAATATTTACTTAAAACCAAATCAGAGTCAAGATGAAACTAGGTCTAGGTTTTTACCTTTGAACAACCAATTTGACATTAAATAATTGTTGCCGTAGCTGGCAAGATGTTTATGAATTATACTCCAATCCCACTTCGTAGTACGTGTATGCGGTATCCGCTAGTATTGTGAGGTATGCCTATAAACCTCCTCCGGTTTCAATTTTCAGTCAGTTCGTGAAAGTAAAAATTTTTCCTTCAAAGTTAATGTCAATATCGACATCTATGCGAATATTTACAAAAATCATCCTTGTAACCTCATGGCATTATTTAGTAGACATATCGGCTTATTTTTTACCAATCCATGATAAACACGTATAAGGAATTTTTATTGGTCATTAATAAGATAATTTTTATTTACCAGTAAAGACAGAAAAGTACCTAACATTGCGGGCATATTTTAGGTTAACATTAGGTCAAGAATTCTTTAATTAGTTCTTAGAGTTGTCTTTTTTGTAGTTTTGAACCAACCAATTTAACCTCTTGGTCAAAGGCCTATCAGGGCCCTAATTTAGTAAGTAGTTACCAATTTTTGACAAAGTGTTTAAATCTCAAGACAATTCAACTTTTGAGGGCAGCATTTAAGGATATAGGTGTAACTACTAAAATTTCATAAACATAGTTAACTTTTTCTTGGGTGGTAGCTCATTTTAAGAAAATGCTAGTTGGGTCTGGTCTGTAACATGTTTCGACACATGTGTCTGCCACTTGTCCATGATGTTATCTTGAAAACATGCCTTGATAATTTCTGATAAACTAGTAACACTCAACAACCATTTTGGTGCCGGAGAACTGTGTTTGAGTATTTTTGATGCACTGATTTCAGAAATGTCTTTCTTTTTCTGCAGAAGCTTTCGTTTTTAAGATAACCTAAAATTGGTCTTCTATATGTAGTCGTGCCATAAGTTCTGTCCCATGATAATCTCATGATAAAAATGAAACAAGATAAGATATATTTATATGAAAGATATTATTTATTCGACAACATTTTTAGAATTCATAATCAAACAGTTTTATTCAAAATGTCCCCCCTTGGCCTTCACACACTGCTTCAATCTCGCGGGCCACTCATCTATCACTGCACGCACAGCTTCCAAAGGAATAGCTGCCGCTGATCGGATCAAATCCGCTTTCAGGGACTCGATATTACGGTGGGCTTTGGAGCAGGCCAACTGCTCTAGCAGGTCCCACAACTTGTAGTCTAAAGGATTGAGGTCCGGACTCCCTGAGGGCCAATCTTCCGCAGCAATGAACTCTGGCACATTGCTTTCCAGCCAGCGCTGCGTACTCTTAGCCTTGTGAGCGGGGGCGGAATCCTGCTGGTAGACCCAGTGTTGGTTGGCAAACAATGTACCACTTAAAGGCTTGACGATAGGATCCAGTATGTCGCTCTGATAGCTTGCCGCTTTTGTTTTCACGCCCTGTTTACAGAAATGGAGCTGAGTGACCCCTTCGTAGGACACCCCCCACCAAACCATGACTGACGCAGGGTGGTGGCCTCTCTCAACTCTCGGAATGATCTCCGAAGCTTCCTGTGAACTCCTTGCATACACTTTGTCATTTTGTCGGTTG